GCAACGAAGCATGCATCCTCTGATAGAGGAACGGAAGAAGGGAGTGTGTTATGTCCATATAAAGGGTGTTGTGTAGCTCTAAATGAAGGTGGTGAGCAAGCGCTTCAGATACTGATAGGGAAATGTGTCCAGCGAATCTTAAGAGGCCGGCAAACAAAAGCCAAGGCATTCACTGCGTGCTGCATTTTATGTAAAAGTAAGACAAGATATACAGGAAGAAAGGATATAAAATACATAAACTCATCTTTGTGAGCACAGGAGATTGTTGGTAGGAAGTGGCCTGAGTGGGTATCAGGATAAGGTGGGAGGAGGGTAGCCGGCTACGTATCTTAGGCTTTTGGTTCTGATTTTCAAATTAAGAATATATACATTCTATATTTAAGTTAGTTGTTTTTATAAAAGAAACAGAAAACAAGTCAGGTGATGGTGGCTCCCACCTATCATCTAGCCACTCAGGAAGTTGAAATCTGAGGATCGCTGTTCAAAGCTAGCCTGAGCAGGATGTCTCTGAGACTCTTATCTCCAGCGAGCCACTAAAAAGCTGGAAGTGGAGCTGTGGCCCAAGTGTTAGAGTGCCAGCCTTGAGCAAAAAGAGCTCAGTGATAATGCCTAGGCCTGGAGTTCAAGCCCCAGGACCAGCACCAAAATAAAACAAACAACTAAGTAAACAAATAAGCAAAACAGGAGAAACAATTCAGGTTCCACAACTGTCAGATTGGCTTTTCCTCCCAGAGCTTTTGCTACTCTGGACCTTGGGAAGTTACGAAGCCGCAAAAGCCCTGCATAGCCCAGAGTTCCAGAATCAGAGAGCTGGAAGATTCTTTCTGGTGAGATCACTTGTTGAACAGGAAGCATGTAAACCTCATCTGTGTTGGGTAACTTTTCCTTGAAAGCGATTAAAATTTGCTCCCCTACATTTTCTGATTCCTCGACTGTAAGACTCACAGTAAAGTTACATTCATAGACCTTTTTGTACTTTAACTAACGAGGACTATAGTAGCCATCCATCTAGTTGCTCTTGGATACTTACAAAGCACCTAGGAGGGTTTGGGTGCTGGGCTGAGTCTTAGCCTCAGGATCTGCCTGAGAGAGGACAAAGAGAGGGGAAGGTGACTGATGAAGGGGGTACAGGGGTAATGGGGACCCAGGGAGACACATCTCCCTCCAAGAGTCTCCAACTGAGGGGCTGCTAGGAGCTGATGTGCAGTCGTGGTCCAGATGGGAAATGGTGAGCCTTCCTAGAGGTGACTCTGCCTTCACAGGCACAGCGCTGGAAGGAGGGGGAAGGGGATTGGCAGATGAGCAGGAGGGTGGAGTCTCACTTGGAGTGCTTCTAAGCCTGGCAGGAGTTCACGTCTGAGCGCATGGGCACTCCGGTGGGGCTGTTCTGAGCAGCCAGGAGGTGGAGCCCAGTGTCCTGTCCCAATTCCCTCCAGGGAGGGGTTGGTGCCAAAGATTTGAAAAGTACCCAGAGGGCGCCTCCCCTCCAGTCCCTCATGGGGGCTGTCGAATCTCTGAGGGAAACCCCTGGCCAGCCCCCCCTTGTGCTGCGAAGTTCTAGCTGTGGCTTCCTTCCTGAGCAGGCTGGGGAATGAGCCAGTCTGGGTTAGGTCCGGCTCTCCAGTGGACAGTTTCTCTGAGGGTCAATGCCAGTGCCTCCCACAGGCCTCTGCGTTCCCTGGTTGCATTGTGTCTTCCTTTGGTGCTGGGCACCCCTGAAATCATGCAGTCCTGCTAGCTCCCGTCTTGCCAAGTGGGGAGCTTTGCATTTAGTAGGTGCACTGAATGTGTCGAGAGGCGCTTGTTGCTATTAAAAAGCTCCCTGCGGAAGTAGAACTGTGGCTCAAAGTGATAAGAGTGCTTACCCTGGAGCAAAAGAGCTCAGGGACAGCGCCCAGGCCCAGAGTTCAAGCCCCATGACCGACCCTCCCCCCCACCCAAAAAAGCTCCTTGCTTATTTAAAAAATCGGTTATAGGCACGGGAATAAAAAATTATCAGGCAGTTGGGTGCTAGTGGCTCACACCTGTAATGCTAGCTACTCAGGAGACTGAGATCTGAGGATCACAGTTCAAAGCCAGCCTAAGCAGGAGAAGTCTGTGAAACTCTGATCTCCAATAAACGACCAGAAAACCAGAAGTGGTGCTATGGCTCAAGTGGTAGAGCATTCACCTTGAGCTGAAGAGCTGAGGGACAGCACCCAGGCCCAGAGTTCAAGCCCCACCACCACCACCAAAATCAGGCAACAAGAAAGGAAATATCAAGACAGTCTCTGCTGATCTTCATTGTCTGGCTGTCTTTCCTTTAGGCAATCACTGCTCTGGTCCTGGGGGATTCTTCTAGAAATAGATAGGCCTGAATGTGCTGTTTTCTTTCTAGAATTTGCAGCACACTGTCTTGGGTTACAGGGCCCCTCCAGACCTGACGCTCTCTATCCTTCATGGGTCCACTCAGTGCCCTCCTCCCCAAGTGGTGTGTATGAACTGTGTCTGCAGTCTCCTTCGTTCTCTGATGGCCCCATCAGTGGTGGGCACCTGGTGGGAGGTGGGAAGAAGTGAGCCAAGCACTCCACCCGCCAGACCGCCTTGCAGTCTCTGCGCTGCCATCTTGGCTCTGGATGCTTGAGGATGCAGTCGGTGACGTGTCCCTGGGAGACGGCAGCATCCTGTGAGGTTATATTCAACTTTGCGCACATTTCCACCCATTTCCCTCTCTCCCAGGGGTAGGCTAGTAAGTGTGTATGACTGACTGGCTTTCGGAGGAGAGCAACGTCGTAGCACCTCTTGTTTCCTGCAGTGTGCATTTTCTTGCTGGGGCTGATTTCAACACACCCACCACAACTTGGTAACTGGCTCACAGAACATCTTTGGTGTGTATTTGTTGGCACGGAGAGGTTCAGTTGGTACTGAGCTGATGCTGGGTACTCCAGATGTTTGGGTGTAATTGCCCGGTTGAGGGCACCCTCCTTTCTGTCCAGGATTCTTCTTTTTTTGTCTTTTCTTTTCTTTTTTTTTTTTGGTACTGGGGATTGAACCCAGGGCATTGCACTTGCTAAGCAAGCGCTTTGGCACTGACCTACATCCCATACCCTCCAGGATTCTTTTTTTTTTTTTTTTGGTCGGTCATGGGACTTGAACTCTGGGCCTGGGTGCTGTCCCTCAGCTCTTCAGCTCAAGGCAAG